AACATTAACATAGTGATATCATGGATTTTGAATTCCATTGCAAATGAGATTTCTGTCAGTGTCATATATGTTGCTTCCGCCACTGAAATGTGGAATGATTTAAGAGATAGATTTCAACAAAGAAATGGACCACGAATCTTCCAATTAATTTTAGTGGATTAATTGGAAGAATTGAGAGCTTAGATTTCAATTGAGAGAATTGAGATCTTGATATTGTAAACAAAATTACTATTAATTTTAGTAGATTTTTCTCTTCTGCTCGTGATTTTTCTCATATTGGGTTTCCACGTATATTTTGGTATTTATTTTCTTCTTATTTATTTCATTATCATCATTTTCTTGTGATCTAAAATTCATAACAGAATTTGTGCTTTCATGCATCTATGGTTAGCCATGTCAATGAGCCGAGCCATGAGCCGAAACTCAAAGCTCAGGCTCGGCTCGAGCAAAACAGTTCCGAACTTTTTTGTACCCCAACCGAGCCGAGCAAAAGCTTGGTCAAAAAAATGAGGCTCGGCCCCGAGCTTTTGGCTCGAGCCTTAGCTGGCCGAGTCTGCTCTTTTCTTTTTAAAAAAAAATTGTTATAAATCTATAATTTTTTTAATAATGTATTTAAAATTTGTGCAATTTATACGTTTTATAAATAATAATGAAATATTAATACATAAAAAATACATCTAAACTTAAAAAAATAATAAAAAAAGCTAAGCTCACGGGCTGAGCTTGGACTGCCGAAGCCGCCGAGCTTTTTTGATATCACTATCCATGGTCCTTGTCCTTGTCCATGTCCATGTCCATGTCCAAATCTTCCGAAATTGAACAATTAGCTAAACCACTAAAATCATGATCTAATGGTGGAGCGGGAGCTGAAGCACTTACTAGTGCGTTTGAGCAGCAAACATTCTTGTCGAAGTTATTAGTGTCTAACAATATACTGTAATTAATTATAAATTCGAATAATATATGGAGGAAAGTAGAAAGAGATATGAATGAATAAAATGTAATATAATTATTATTCGAATAATAAAAGAGTGAAAGGGTAATCATTCTCCCACGAATTTTGTTAATTACACCACAATTTTAAGCATTTTTTTTTATTTACTTAAATAGTTTTAAGTAAAATTATATAAATGGAGTTTAATACATTTATCACATAAAACAATTTATAGTTACACCACAATTATAAACCTTGTTTTTTATTTCTTTTCCCTCAACAATCGTAGTTAGCTTTTCCATCGACGACTTTTGTTCTTCCATGACAAAAAATAGTTTTCATTTTCTTGCAGATTTCAGTTCATGATGAAACCCAGTCTGCATTAATTTGTTAAAAATATTTAACTCATGGCCGCTTAGTAACGAAAATTTACTAAATACATCAAATCTTGTGTAAATAGATAAAATCTGTTTATATCAAATTTGTGAATAGAGTATCCTATTTATTTGTGATTCTGTTCATGACCAAGGTAAGAAGGCAAAAATGATGGATATCCTTTGGATTTGTGGTTATTCTTAAGCCCAGTTAAGAAGAATGGAATTGCGTTAACTTACTAAAAAAGGTTGAATAAGTTTATGTTTCGATTCTTATGATTATGAGTAATATTGGAATGATGAGTACGTCACAATACTTTTTTTTTTTTTCATTTTTAGTTTTTATTGGATTATGAGTATAATTGTAAATTTGTTGTGGTGTACTTATTGAAAATATACTTTAATTGTTGTGTGATTATAATGTGGTGAAATAAGTAAATTTCATGGTGGTAATATAATTACCCATAATGAGACTCAAGATTGCACAATAAAAGAACTAATTGCTACTATGGAAACAAGAATTGTATTGTGGAATATTAGAATTCTAAATTTAAAATGTAGAGAGAATTGTGGTACGGGAAAAAATAAAGTGGTGACGAGGTATTTATAGCAATAAAAATTGCTTAAAAAAAAATGAAGTGGTGACGAGGTATTTAGTCTGAAGAAAAAAAGAGGCTCGTGAAAATTTTTCTTGATTTGTTTGATCTTTTGCTTGTCCCTATATGAGTCAAGTCAAGTCAAGTTGAATCGAGTCGGCTCACCTCACATGTGGTGGGCCAAAGGTAGCTGCTTGGTCCGATCCATTTAACATACTAGGTGCAGTTCATACTATTGCAAGGGCGACGTTTATCCAATTTGAGAGAGTATTTAGCTTGTCCATCTCATTATAATTGAACCCCTATTTGTCTACTATTATTCCAAAAAATTATTTGCTAAAGTAAGATTCTCCATCACACATTTATCCAATAAAATATTCTACTCACAAATCAATAAAGTTACATTAAATTTCAATCACAGATTCTCCAAAAAATACTATTCATTACTCTATTTTTCTCCAAATAATTGGAGACAAACACACCCTGAATAAATTGTTTTCTTCTGCTTTCTAAAAGAAAATATTAAGCCCCTATTTGGAGCCCATTTTGTGGGAAAAAAAATGAATTATTGTACTGTTGAACTCCAATTTACAACCACACTTTTTGACTTGGGTTTTGCTACAAGTACCCGGGGGTTTACACCCCGGGTTAATCAACCCCACGCCCCCCCCCCCACAATGGGGGGCCCGTCGATTATTTAATTCACCTCGGGTCCCACTTCATTGTGAGGGGGGCGGTGGGGTGGGGTAGAGATGTCAATCCGGGTGATCCGGGTCGAGTCGGCCCGCCAACATATAAACCCGATAATGGCTCGTGTGAAAAAAAGTCCGCCCGCTACGAGTTCCGGGCCGGCCCACAAATTTTGAACTACAAGTTATGCCCACCCCGACCCATCAAGGTTGAGCCCATGCGGGTCATGGGTTGCGGTTTGTTCCGATTTGACCTGTATTATTGTATAAATAAAATTATAAAAATATATAATATTTCATATTTATAGCAAAAAATATTTTTTTTGTTAAATGTAAATTAAGAATTGAACAAAATGATAAATTCATATTTATACAAAAAAATGTTTACATAGAATTTAAATTTAATGTTATATGAATTATTTATAATTTTGTAAAGTTAAATTTAACTTAAACAAATAACAACTAAATGCATTTCTAATTACTATTATCAAATATTTATAGCCTAAGTACATCCCAACTAGGTTAGCTCTTTCCCCCTCATTTTTTCAAATTTTTTTTTCACGGGTCAGCGGGTTAACCGCGGCCCGTGAATGTGCAACTCGCGAAACCCGCGGGTCACACCTCCTTAGCCCGTAAATCGCCCGCTCAGGTCACGAGTCGGCACGCGGTTCCAGGTCGATTCGGGCCGATTTTCACGGGTCTGGCCAGCCCCACCGTCTTGACACTTCTAGGGTGGGGTAACCCGGGGTGTAAACCCTCGAGTACATATATCATTTTCCTTTTGACTTTTATCTCACATTAGTGGGACCTACCTCACTGTGTAACGGTCAAAAATCTCATTTTTTGGACGAGAAAATGGGCTCCAAACATGTTCTAAATTCATATACTAAAATAGATAAAGCATGTTTGGGAAATGAGGTGAAAATATGCAGTACTTGTAAATTCTAAAAAATGTAAGATAAAAAGTTATAATCAAGAACCAAACACTGCCTAATGTAAGACTTCGGAACAATATAAGGGTGCGTTTGATTACAAAGGTGGAAAATGGGTGGAAATAAAATGTTTTACAGGGAAAAGATTTGCCTAGAAAATATTTTGCAGGGAAAATGATTTCAAGTGTGTTTGATTGGTATAATTTTCCACCCAAAAAATTTTTAAATTTTCTATTCATTTGGCTTTGTTTTACATGAAA